CCATCCGGAGCAGCCCTCCGGCTGGGGTCTGGGGCTCTGGTACAACCGCGTCCGCGCCCGTTTCCTTGACCTCACGAGCTACTACAAAGACCCTGCCTTCCCGAAGCTGCTCCCCGATGAGGACCCCAACTACCGCCAGCCATACACCCTGGTATTGAGTTTGGAAGATCTCCTCGTGCACAGCGAGTGGAGCCGTGAACACGGATGGCGTGTGGCCAAGCGTCCGGGAGTCGACTACTTCCTGCGCTACCTCAACCAGTACTATGAGCTCGTCCTCTTCACCAGTGTACCCAGCATGATGGCGGACCAGGTTCTTCGCAAGCTCGACCCCTACCGTATCATCCGTTGGCCCTTGTTCCGTGAAGCGACCAAGTACAAGGACGGTGAATATGTCAAGGTAAGTCGTGGAGAGCTAGCTTCTCAAGATCGATATTGATTCCGTTGGCTAGGATCTTTCGTACCTCAACCGTGATTTGTCCAAGGTTATCGTGATCGACACCAAGGAGGAGCACGTCCACCTGCAGCCCGAGAACTCGATCATCCTCGACAAGTGGAACGGCGACCCGAAGGACAAGACTCTGGTCGCACTGATCCCCTTCCTCGAGTACTTGGCCGGTATGGGTGTGGACGACGTGCGACCCGTGATCAAGTCCTTCGACGGCACGTTCATCCCCCTGGAGTTCAGCAAGCGCGAGAAGGCCATGCGCGAGCGATTCGAGGCGCAACTGGCCGAGGAGCAGAAGAAGCGCCCCCGCAGCGGCATGGGCACCCTGGCGTCTGCTCTGGGCCTGAAGTCCGGACGCACCATGGACGGCGAGCAGTCCCCCTCCGAAGGCCTCGAGCAAGGCAAGATGCTCTGGGACCAGATCCGCGAGCGCGGCCAGAAGAACTACCAGATGATCGAGAGCGAGATCCGCGCGAACGGCGAGAAGTGGCTGGCCGAGATGGCCGCCGAGGAGGAGAAGGCCCGCCAGGAGCAGATGGACCAGATGAAGGGCTCTTTCACCAGCATGTTCGGCGCTGGCAAGAAGGAGTAATTCACCTTTTGAAGTGTGCTTGAATGTTGCTTCTCCTTCCCCTTTTCTCCCCTCCTCCTCCCTTATCTCTGTCTTTTTATAATGTGCGCCTGCGGTGTTTGATTTCTTTTCTCGTTTCATTGTCCGGGGCGGGTTCATATTAGAGGGTTCTTGTTTGACTCCTGAGCATCATTGTCAAGGGCGATTGTAAAATAGCATTTGGATGTTTTTTAATGGTCTGTATAAATTGGATTCTGTTTTAATTGCTGGGAGGGGATTTGCTGGGTATCTACTGGATGGAAAAGTTGATCCTTGAATTACCAGGTACCGGTCGAATGGCGAATGTTGGTTAGAGGATAGATCTCAGGAGAAACAAGAACATATAAAAACATCTCAAAATATGGGTAAACACCACAAATACAGTAGCTCATTGCGTAGGGTGGAAGGAACGTGAGATGGCAGTATTATTCGTAGATAGTAAGTATCTGATCTTTGCATCATGTCAAGGCTGTTGTCGTCTAGTAGGCCAGGGTATATAATATCGACCGTAATAAATGTACACATAAGTTCCACACTCCCCACCACACAGTACTCCTATCCCGGACCGAAACAAAAAGAAAACAATCAAAAAGCAAAGAAAGAGAGAGGACGAAATCACGTCGGCAGATTAACATCCTGAAAAACCGAAACATCCCAAATCCCGGTCATATCAAACGGAAACCCATCCATGGTCCCAAACGTTCCCGAAATCGACATCATATCATCCACAATATCATTATTCGTCTGCGTCTCGGGCAGCGAAATCGCCGCCGGGTTGACCAGCCGGCCAGCAGTACCACCATCAGCCTGGCCGCCCAAGCCGCCACCGCTGTAGTTAGGGTCTGAGAGGCTGGCGCTGGACGACGGGAACCGGTTGAGCAGCCGCTCGCAGTGGTCGAGACACATGTCGGCTACGTCCCAGTCTTCTTCGTCGCGGACGCGGCGCAAGATGGTGCGGAAGATGTCGACGTTGGAAAGGCAGGAGCGGGCGATTTCGGTGTCTGTTGTTTCGAGGGCGCAGCGGACGAGGAGGGTGGCTGTTGAGGTTAGGTGGAAGGCGCTGTCTTTTTGGGTGTTAGTTCTGTTTCTTGGTCTTTTTTATGATTCCATTGAATGTCTTTCGAATGTGGACGGAAGGGAGGAATGGAGAAGGCACATACAGGGAAGCCAGAACTCGGCGAAGTTCTCCTTTCGCAGAGACGAGATAAAGTGGACGATTTCCTCAGCGGATCGCCGGCACTCGGTCTGGAAGTAGCGCCGGGCTTCGGGGTTATCTGTCTCGCCGCTGTTTACCTCCTGCAGTTGATCTGTGTCAGAGGACAGACGTCGCAGAGAGATGAGATGGGAGTGGAGGGGGACAAGATCGTACCGTGAGTTCTACTCTGGCGACAAGCATCTTGACAGCCAGGAAGCCCAGCAAGAGGCTGCAGCTCCCCGAAATGCGATCCTCTGAACCGTTGGTGGGAGATCGTAGCCAGTCGGGCAATGAATCCTCCCACGAATCCAGGTCCGTGCGGATCTGTCGGACTTTCTTGGATGTCTCGCGCGGTAGTCGTTGCTGGAGTCCGTAGACCAGCGGCATTAATTCGCCCAGGATCTCGGTCAAATGGCATAGTGCGATGTGGCAATGTGCTGCGCGCACGCGCTCTGTCGTACGGGACGTGGGTGGGACGAGGGAATCGACTGTTGGTAAGGGAACGTCGTACTGGTTCTTTGCGATCTGGGGTGGTACGCCGTGGCCGAAACTCCCCCTGGAGGGTTGTGTCAGTTGGGATCTGGTAAGATGACGGAAAATGGCTTACCAGCGATCGTGGATTACCACGCCCCACCACAAACGGATCCGATTGTTCTTCTCCTGCCGGGACAGTCGCCAGTTGATCGGGTCGCGGTTCAAGCCCAGACAGTGCGCAAGGGAGATCATCCGACCACAGCTGATGGCGTTGCCAGTCATGGAGAAGATTGGCCGTCCCGTCAGATCGACGAGCGCTGCGCTGATGGTCGACAGACCTGGCGCGGAGAATTCCTCATGCAGCGCAGCCACGGTCATGTTGACGGCGTACCGGACGTCTGGTTTGGGGTGACACGCCAATTTCGGCGTGTGTTTCCAGTAGACTAGGGACATGGAGTACACCTGACACAAGAGGGACGCAGGGGGTTCCCCGGGTGACTCCGAGATGTACGCCTCCCAGAAACTGTCGCCGTCAAAGATCGGAAACGCGACATTGAACCGGTCCAGGAACCTGTTTCCCGCGAATTAGTAAGATTGTGTGTGTGCCCCCTATCTGGGTTTGGACGCCAATGGAGAGCTTACAGCCTCACCAGATCATGCCGAAACGGCCCCAGTATCTGTTCCAGAATCTCCTTTTGATTTTCCCCGGGAGGGATGCCCACGCGCACGCCTTGTCGCCGTCGCGACACCGTTTGATAGAGGATTGGCTTCCTCGGATCGCTGGAGTAGACGTTGTACGGATGGCCTTTAGGCTCGACCGACTGGCTCGACCCTTCCGTGGGCATGAGCTTCTCAATCACCTGCGCATCATCGGCCACGACGGGCCCGACAATGTGCATCGACTCATTGTGTGGGTCCTCGAGACTCCGCCGCCGAGATCCATTGGGCCGGAACCCGCGCGCGAGATCCTCGCCGGGGCCGCTCGGGGAGGTATCAGCTCGGGGGCGACCGGGGTTGGGAGGAGGACTCATATCCGAGGAGCGTTTGCGTTTCTGGCCTGGTACCGAGGCTCCCCGCGCGTGGTCCGCTGACCAGCTTCTCAATTCGCATCCGTTCGAGGCGACGGGCTCCTGACTGCCCTCCTCCTGGTAGTGACAATCGGCACCCTGGACGCGACAGAGCAAACACGACTGCCCGGGGATGTCCACCGTACAGCGCGACTTGCGTTTTCTGCACAGGTCGCAGGCGCGGACCTTGTGGGACCGGTAGGGACGTGCGCCAGCATTGAACCCCGGGGAGGAGAGCTTCTGGGAGGGGGTATTCGAAATCGTGGAGGGAGGCATGATATAGGTTCCGACGCGTATTCATCAGGGTTCGGAGGAAGGCGAAAAGCTCCAATCGAGCACCGCGCGAGTTGCGCGCTAATCGGCGGAGCTGACCTTTGGGGCACGGTTGTGAGGGGTAAGAGAATGAGACTGGTAGAGTCATGGATTACCACCGGGAAGTCGTAGAAAACATTGAACCGGAGAATGTCAGTCGCATCGACGATGAGACACTCGCATAGTAGTCAAAAAGCCAGATACCCCCCTTTGGTTGTGGACACACTGCCGAGGAGGTAGAGATTTCCATCCAGCAATGCATCGGAGGTCAGCGATGGAGCAGAATCGAGAAGATTATTCACGCGCCGCATGAATATAGATGAGTCAGCTCGTCATAATCATGCACAATCTGCGTCATTCGACCGTCCTGATCGGGACTAGCGTCAGTATGGGGGAAATGACTCAGCAAACAGACTCAGCCAATCAGGCAGCAGTAGGATTCACCTGATCGCAACCCAAAGAAGACCAAATGCAGCAGGAGAACACACTAGACGCGATAATCCATGAATGAGACCATGTGGGAGAATACGAAGGATCCAAACACCAATGGAGGGACAAACGAGTAGTCTGAACTCTCCAGAAAGTGGACGGGGTTACTATTAATATCCTGCCGTGCTTGTGATCGGACAGCGTCAGTGCCAAAGGCAGCTAAACGGTAGTCTCATTCTTGGCGTCATTTCTTGTCCCGCGTTCTGCTGCTTCTTCTTCTTCTCTCCACATTCTTTTCTGCTTCCTCTTCTGTCTCTGATCTTCTGGTGTTTTAGGGCTCCCTGGAAGGATGTGATCGAGTCCTTGGAGGAACCCCCGACTGCATCGTTCGTCTGAAACGCCTAATTCCCATTTCAGACAACCTCCGAGACGCCAGAGTTACGGTGCATCAGACCAGCACAACACAGCCACCGCTATCGCTAAACTACTATCTATTAATTGGTGGTCCCCGGTCAATCCTTTCACTAGAGCTTACATTTTTATCCACGTTTAATCCCCGGGATACGGACATCCGTTACTAGAGAATAACAACCCGGACAACACCGATTAACTAAAGAAGAAAGAAAAAAAAAAAAAAAAAAAGGGCTAGGGGTCATCGAGAAAAAAAAAGAAAAGAAAAGGAAAGGAAAGCCAAAAAAAAAGAGAGCAATCATCCAGGTTGATCTTGTTCTACTATCATCCTCTCCGTCAACATAATCGTGAAAGAATGCCCCCCGTGTCCAATTGAAACCTCGAGATGCCCTCGGTTCCACGGATGTGAACATACATGTGGCGACTGATCATGGAAAAGGATGTGAGTCTGCCTGGCGCCGAACAATTGAACGGTCACGAGCAGCTGGTTCACGTCCTTCCCCTCCAATTACCATCGCAACCTCACCGGCGCATGTCGCTGGAAAAGACCCGGGAACGGACGGGAGGGCAGATCGCCGCACTCTTCAACCGCTTGCCCCGGACGGTCATTGAGCTGTAAGTGATCTGGCCCTCCAGGCTCCAGGACTAGCAATCGGTTTCCAGCCGGCGCGAATAGATCGTTTTAACAGATGGCATAGCATTCTCTACGTCGCCGAACCGAGCACGTTTGCATCGCTGGCCCTGTTGAATCGGAAATGGCGGCGCATCTCGGACTCGTATATCCTCTACGATCACCATCTCTCGCGGTGCCCCTCCTTCGCCCTCACCCAGAGAGCTTTTTCGAACTCCGAGCACCCTAGCGACCTGGCCACTTTGAAGCACCGCTTTGCTACCGAAATCCGACGGAACGGCTTCGCGGTATATTTTCGTCCCCGAAAGACCCTCATCAAATTGATTTCCACCTCCTTGAGCTCCTCGACGGCGTTTCCGCAGGGCGAGGCGTTTCGATTCGCGTTCTCACCGAATGCGCAGTTGATCCTCTGCATCAGCTCGTCTCGGATCGTAGTCCTCGACGTGACTGCAGACCGTGCAGTCGTGAGGCACGAACTCAAGACGTGGAGACGCCCGTTGAACGCCACGATCCTGGATGATGGCTCCATCCTGGCGGTCGTCTCGTCGACGCACCAGGTCAATATCTACGACCTCTCGACGGGCGACGCAAAACACGTCCAGAACCTCGAGTTGAACGACGCTCCCCGGACCTTGACCCTCTCGCCCACCGGGGGGGTGTTGGCCGTGGCGTATGACGATCGGATCGAGGTCTATGCGATCGGCCAAGAGACCCTTGTGACCGATCGAAGAGCGGTCCGCTGTCAGGGCGTGGACTCGATCTCATTCTCGTCAGATGGATTCATGCTACTCGGTTCGTCTGTCGGTTCAAGAACTCAAGGCCTGGTCACTATCACCGTGCCTTTCTACACCGATGCCGACGTCGAGGCTTCCCCGCGAGACGCTCAGATCCGAATGTGGACCAGCCAGGTCCTCTTCCCGGACATCACCAGGGGGTTTAGCCATGCGTCGTTGCTGCCACAGCATGCTGAGGGGGAGAGCAGCTGGCTGCTCGGATTTGATCGAGAGGTGGGGGCCTTCCGAGCGATTGGAGCCAGCGATGTCAATTCGGGGACGGCGTATTTCGGAAGCCCCTTATCGTCAGGGGGTGCCCAGGAATGCCAACCGTCCCTGCTGCCAGCCGTTGATGGTCAAGGGGAGCTCATAGCGTTGGGATTCGAGGATTCGGGGCTGTGGGTGTTTGGCGTACCGGCTCGTCTGGACATAGCCCCCTCAGCCACCTCCGCGGGGGCTATACACGCGGCCCAGAGAAACGGTCACAACCGTGCCCTCGAGGAGCCGTCGTTAACCGCGCCAAATAACCTGCCACGGTTGCGGGAGTCGATTACCCGCCCCAAATGGCTGATCGATGGCCACCAAATGAGCGACATGCCGGGCATTACCGCGGCCAGTTGGGTCCGACGGACCACGAAGCCTCCTGATCACCGTCGACTGGTCGCCGTGGCCCCAGGTGGCATCCGGCCTCCGACACTCGGCGAGGAAGATGTTCCAGTCGATGGTGGCCGGGTACTGCTTTTGGATTTCGACCGATCTCCACAGAATGGACCAACCCTCGAACTCAACATCGAAGTTGGCGACGCCGAACCGAAGATGCTCGGGGAACCTAACCCCAGCCTGGATACCGAGGTTGAGCTAGAAAGACGGAGGACGCATCTACGCCGCGGCGGCCCACCCCAGCGGGCCAATGCTCCTGCACGAGAGTCGTACCCGGCATCCTTATCTACGCCCCAGCTGTCCCCCGACCTGGTTTCTCGGGACCTTTCTCTTTTTTCTACCATGCCAATCGGGTCGGGCGAGGGGGACATGCCCTCCTTCCCTGACAGCCCCTATAATAATACCCAACCGAGGTCGGGGGACACCCTCCGCCGAGCGGCTACTGCTGCTGCCGCCAGTCGTGAGCGGTATAACCCCCAGCAGCGTCAAGAGGCCCCCCGCGTGCACGACAACACGCCAGTTCATCCGCTGTTCCAGGTCCCTCATGAAAGTGATGCGGACAACTGGGTGCCTCCCCCGCCTCCCTACTCTCGCGAGCCAGATGGACCGCTTCCCGACTACCTACGGCGAACCCTGCAACCCTCCAGGACAGAGCCTCTCAGAAGGGTCAGCCAGGCACCGGGCCTTTTTCGACGATCCCACACTACGCGATTAGAAGATGTATCCGAGCGTTCGTCGCGGGGCTCGCTGCACCGACTCAATACCATCAGCGTTTCCAGCTTGGCCTCTCGCAGAAGAAGAAACACGGTAGACTCCGACACCGACGTCGCAAACCGAGGACCGCCCAATTCCATGCGAAGGAGAGCGAGTTCTACCACCCAGCATGTGCAAATAAACGAGGAACCAGCGGTTCCTCCCCTCCCCGAGCACATCCCTACCGTTCCTCTAGCTACACCACAGGCGAACCTCGCCTCATCTCCGGCTCCAGCCCCCCAGCCAGACAACCCCCCAGGATTGTGGTCAACCGCAGCACCCACCTGGATAGCCGCCGCGCGACGCGCCTCCCAGCGCCTCAACCCCATCCGCCAATCCCCCGAGGACGGAGTCCGCCGCGGGTCTGCTCCGGGTCGACAACCCCTCGCCAACGACCTAACCAACTATCCCTACTTCCGTTCCTCGCCGAACCTCCAGGTCCAAAACCCGCAATACACCCAGCCCCAGCGCTGGTACCCGCAATACCGCAGCGGATTCCAACGCCCGGCAGACCGGCGCTCCCAGTCTCACGATATCACGCAACTATCATCCCCCATGGGGCCGGCCATCCAGCCCCTCAGCCGACGCGTCTCCACGGAACCCACCTTCTCCAGAAGCTCCCTAGCATCGCACGACATCTGGCGACGGCGCATCGAGGACTGGAACGAGCAGACTATCAGTGAGCGTAGCAAGAAACGAAGCAAGTGTGTAGTCATGTGATGTGATGTCCTACCTTTTTATATACCTGGCTGGACCTGTTGTTTTTGGATACCATATGATTACTGATCTTTTTTCTTCTTCCCTTAACTCACCTTTCTTTCGTTTTACTTATTTTTTTTTTTTTCCTACTTTTCTTCTACATCATCTTTTCTTTTCTTCTCTTCAGGGGCTACGTTTGTTACATATACCCAATCGGTCTTACAGTACATGGCTTTTTTTTTCTTTTCTTTCTTCCTTTTTTGTACAGCATCTGATGGGGAGTCTACTTATATTCTTCCCATTCGATGTTGAACATTGGTTGTTGGATAGTAGGTGTCCATGTCAACCTTGGTCAATACATACTTACCTCACTTCTTCTTCCCCCCCACGCTCGCTACTGACTACGGGCGTGCCTTGGGCATTTTCTTTACATTTTTGTTTCTGAAAATAAAATAAATAAATAACTAGCTCCATAAATATGATAACGGATCGATTTTAACTTCAGAACCAAGTTCAGCTCAAGGATCAATTTCAGTGTAGAAAGGACGCGGTTGTCGTAATCAAGGGGGAAGGAATTAGAGCGTATCAAATTAGTCGTACTCGTACATCGCAGAGAAAAGCGCTAAAGAGGTAACAAAACAAAAAACAAAAAGAAAAAATAAAAGAAAAAAGCTTATGAGAAGCAAAGAAAGGAAACGCTACTACGGATACTCCGTACAGCTTCAACAACCACCGCCGCCGCCACCACCACAACCGCCTCCTCCTCCTCCTCCTCCACAGCCCCCTCCTCCTCCTCCTCCACCACAGCCTCCTCCTCCTCCGGATGATCCCCCGCAGCTCCCACTCGCACATCCTCCAGAGCATGCACCACCGGACGTCCCACCGCACGATCCAGCCGCGGCGCCGCCTCCACACGTCCCCGCGGCGCAGTTGCCATGCGCCCCCGAATCGAGGTTCATACAGCTGGGGTTGCACGCGTAGGAACCAGCATGCACGCTGGGGTCGCAGGTGTAGGGCGCATAGTAAGGCACGAAGACCGGATAGCCCCACATGAGCGGGTAGCTCCCGACGGCGGACTCATCGGCGGTTCGTTTCCGCGGCTCCTTGCCTGCCTTACGGTCGCGCTTTTCGGCGCGGCGCTGCGCCTTCTCGTAGTTGCTGCGCAGGCGGAGGAATTTGGCTTGGTGCGGGTCTGAGTAGATTCCGCGGGACGTGTTGGGGCGGACGGCGCTGTGGGCGGAGATGTGTGGGTTTTCGTCCGGGTTGGAGGAGATGTCTGGGCGGTCGTGGAGGCGGGCGGCGGCCGTGCGGGCGCGTGCGGTGGTTGAGGAGACGAAGATGCCGTCGCGGAGGTCGGAGACGCGAATCGCTTCGCAGTACCAGCAGGTGCATTCGCTGTAGATTTCGCCGTTGGTGATTTTCTTGTACATGCGGCTGGTCCATTCAAAGCCGTCGGAGAGGGCATTTTCGTCGACTTTGTCGTCGTGGTCGATTAAGACGCGGAACGGGCGTTCACTTTTGGTCTGCGTGGTGGAGAACTCGAAATAGCGGAGTGGGGCGAGCTGGTGCGTGTGCCATGCGAGGTCGATGTCGAGGGTTGGCACGGCCATGTGCTGTGGGTTGCTTGCCATGATGTAGAAGAAGACGGTGTAGCGGGCGATGAGCCGCGCCATGGTTTCCATGACTGTGGGCGAATGCAGCCAGTCGATGTTGTCCATCTTCTGTACGAAGGTGCCCTGTCGGATGACAGCGCCGACCAGGTCCAACGCGAAAGGCGTCGCGTTGTCCCAGTACCGCGACATCATGCGCCGGAACGCGATCTTCTCGGCGGGCATCAGGCTCGGAACGAGACTGCCTGGGTTGGCCGTACGCAGGACGTTCTTGTTGCGGAGCTGCGTCTCGAGGTTCTCTCGTAGCTTGAGCATCGTCGGGCACCGCGCTTCGCTTTGGCTGGCGTGTGTGTCTTCGAGGATTGTCACGCACGCGGCCTTGACGAATCGATTCGGGAAGGTCGTCTGTGCGTGTTCACGCTTGGTAGACCGACGACCCTCGGGGATTCCCCGGACGCTGTACAGCGTTCCCGGCATGGGTCGGTTATGGTCGTAGAGTGCACGCACGTCCTCTCGGAACTTGGCGATCTTGAGCCGCTCGTGATCGATGACGAAGCCACACGAGAGACATTGGGAACGGAACTTTTTGTCCGCGTATCCCTGGCAGTCTTCGAACGCCACGACGAGGGGAAGCTTGATGGCTCCGTCTGTCCAAGGGACGGCGACCTCCTTGCTGCAAGCGGGACAATTGAGGAACTTGGGGGCCGAGTCAACGAGATTGTCCCAGGGGCAACGAGTCTGCTTGAGGAACAACTCCCGTGCGCCATGGCCCGGCTCGTATTCCAGCGATCGGTCATCGACGCACGAGTTGATCACCGCCCAGGGAAAACCGGTACACCAGAAGCCCATCTTACCGTCTCGGATGCAGTCTTCCAAGAAGGCGCGCGGGTTCAGCATGTGTGCATGCCATACCATCAAGACGTCTGACGGTGCCAACGTTAGCAGAAGTTCATGGGCCTATGTGAGATCAAAGACTACTGCCACTCACCTAGAGGAGGCAACCGCTCTGCAGACCAGGAACATTCACTGTTCCATTCTGTGATGTAGTCATAGGCGTTCGTCTCGAGATCGACGGTTGTGACGGGCTCTCGCGAGGCTCGCACGCAGGTCCGCCACCACACCGCATAACGGTCAACAGCGCGAGTGACATAGATAGCCCATCGCTTCTCCCTGATGCGGGCACCAGCCTCGCCGGTTTCTTCAAGGAATACTTTGGGGTCCGGGTCCATCAGACCGAAGAGGCCGTCTGTTCCGGCCACCGCTTCACGCAGGTCGGCCAATACCGCCAAGAATTTGAGATGAGCTACACACTCATCTCTAGAAACCGTCTCGGTCGTGGGATCGGAGGCTCTCTTGCGCAAATCCAGCGGTGGAATGATCAATGGCGGTTCATCGAATTGTGGCGGCATAGGGGTGGGTTCGTAAACTGGGGGGTCGTCCCCTAGTTTGTTTTTTCCGTTGACAGACATATTTTGAGAGGAAGTTGTTGCAAGGCTATACAATGTTGAAATTTCGTTGCGGGGTTGGGTTCATCGTAGATCGGAGAGGGTACAGAAATTTGAGAAATATCCAGTTCGACCGCAAGTGGGGAGAATATAAGAATCTTATTAGGATTTGTATTCCGTACGATGACGGGACTAAATAGGGGACGCTGCGTCAGACTTGCGCAACTGGCGTCACGGCCATCAGAGCCTCGGATTCCAAACGCCAAACCTTCGTAGGGTCAAGATCTACTGCTCAAGCCGATCGCAGACCTAAGAAGTCAGTATAAATAGAAATACAGACAGAAGGCTGGACATCGAATATTCCATATCCACCCACCTCATCAGGTCAATGTCTCGAGTATCCTCCAGCCTATCAAAGGATGTCAGACAGTGTGCATTGCCCCGACAAAGACGTGTTCAAGCTTTCCCATTAGTTAATTAGCCATGGGGCGTCGCTCCTTCCCTCCTGGGCGGCAGTGCAAGGCTGAGTGACGATCTTTCAAAGGAACTGCTCGGGTTCTGCGGGGCGCATGAGCATTCCAAGGGACCTAAACACACAAACCCAGGAATTGGCCGGAATATTACCCCATCTCAAGGGGGGTCATCGGGCTGATTATTTATTGGGAGTAATACGAAGTGGCAAGTTGAGCGCCCGATCAGCCTTTCAATATGTCATCTAATCTGACACTGTTCGGATTGAAACTTCCAGAAAAGACTAGATCCCCCAGGCTGTGAGGGATTATCCCAAGCTGGTTAGAGCCAGAATGACGACTATGATTGATATGAATCAGCATAAAGAATATAAGAACCAATAGTAAGAATGAATATGGGGCTGCAGATGGAGACGGGGATCAGATGAAGGTGAAGGTGAAGTAGGAAATGAGGAATGAGACCGAGGATAGGGGTTTGACACCTCAGGCAGAGGATGTCTACACAGCCTGCCATTTTCTACTTTCTTCAACCCAATATGGGTACCCATATGCGACGTCCATTGTATGATATAGGCGAGAATCGCTTCACAGAATCCGTTTCTAGCAACTTACCCTCAAGGTAGATAACTACTTGAAAATTTATAAGGATTGCATGTATTCACTGCGATACCCAATACAACATCGCCCATCAGAGACAAACCCATCAGCTTATCCGAGCCAATATCACCTATCGTCCGCTCCAGCTTCAGCTCCTCCAATTTCATCTCCGTTCGCTGCGTTATCCTCAGAGCCTTTTCCTGCGACCTCCTTGGTGTAATCGTTCGGGTCCCAAGCCAATTCCCGGGTCTTCATTCGCTCGAGCTTTATCGCCACAAATCTTTCGAAATCAGCTCTAAGATATCAAGCCCGTGCTTCCAAACTTCGTCGATGGGAGAAGAAGTCGGCCCAAAAAATCGCAGATCAATCTTGTGCCAGTATATCAAGTCAAAGGCAAAGTTATTCCTCGCCGCGTACGCAATCCAGAAGTCTCCACTCTCCCAGCTATTTTGCATCGGGCCAGAGAGCCGCTGCGTACTCTTTAGCCAGCCCTGTTCAATTGCCTTGTCCTCTTGATATCTCATCGCGCTGAGAAAGGTTTGAAAGCGTCGTTCATACTCGCTACACCAGTTGTCAAGGCCTTGAGGCCAGTATTCCGACCTTTTAATCAACAGCCACCAAGGTGGCGCAAAAGAGAATTCGATCGGGGCAGCATATGTGAATTCCCAATCTACAACTCCGACGATTTTCAGCGCCTTCATAAGGGTATTGGCTGGACAGAAATCATCGCACCAAAGTTTGAACGGGCCTTTATCAAAGGATGCTGACTGCTCTGTTAAACGATGTTGTCTGGCGAGTTTCCGGAACAGATATCGAGCAACCAGCTTGCGTCGACAGTCTGCGGCTGAGTCGATTGCATTATTACGCTATTTTACGAGATGAGCAATATGTAGCTCTGCTAGGGTTTCGAAGTATGAGGACGTGGTGTCAAATGTCGTGGTTGGTAGTCTTGACTGGGGTAAGGATCCCAGCTGAACCAGAGTATTCATAGGCATTGATAAAGGTCGATGTGTCACTTTCCAGATAAAGTCATCAACCTGGTCTAGTGACCCGATCCGGGGTAGACATGGTCGAGAAAGCTGAAGTAAAATACTTGCAACCTCTCTGTAAAGAGTCTCTAATCTTGCCTCACTGATACCTGGATCAAGAGTTCCACGAACATCCTTTGGGCACCCAGGTGTGTTGAGAGCATCATACATGTTTGTATCATGGTCAATATAGTCCATAATGATACAAGGGCTTGACTCTCCCTCTTTGTCCCCCAGTAGTGGACAAATGGAACAGGAATTGAAGTCTGATCATAGATATATCGCATAATAGCAACTTCACTGCGGACCTACTCTTCAAAAAACATGGTGGCACCTGGCTGGGGAAAATGTATTACGGCAGTGGTCACATTCTTGTACTTCATCTGCAAAGAGATATTGTATGCGCCTTTCTCGAGAAAACTGAACTCGACAGCATCGCCAGGACAATGATGCCTGACCAAAAACCTGCCAACCGATTGTAGTACGTCGGGTTCAAGAAACTGGCGAACCCACTCATCGGCGATGGCTTCGCTTTTCTCCCAGGCGACGTCGTCATAGCGCAGGCGTGGTTGCATGATTAGCACCGAGACTCAAAGAGGGAAACGAATAACAGTTCAAGAGTGTAAATTAGTTGGAGATATCGGGGATAGGATGGATAGGAGCTCCCAAACGCGGTAGCCTGACCTCGCCATATTGCTTTTTTGGGTATCCATTGGTTACCCACAAGCATATATGAGCTATCAATCTATGTACTCAGCAATGGTGGTTCCTTGTTAGCTTCACATGTCCAATTCGAGCTGTGGAAAGATCTCCTCGTCCTCCATGGAAGAGGTGGGCATGCTAAGGTATGTCTATCAGTCTATCTGCCTCTGTGTTTAGAATGGAATCCAACCTCAGGCCCCAACAGCTCCAAGCATATCTATACAGATGACATAAGCGATGGGACCGTCCGCATCGTCACGTGGAGATACCACGTGAGAGCGAGATCGGAAGCGCCACTTTGCTCCTCCTCATCATAATTCCATCTTGCCTACAAGACTATACCCAAACTCGCCAGACTTCCTCGCTTTCCCTTGACCTCGCGTTCCCTCAATTGGTTGAGGGGTTGGCGGTTACTATTGGCTATCAAGTGCGGTGACTCTTTTCGAGCCATCTCGACTAGTGAAACAACCCCTCTTCTTAACTCGCCCCGGAGTTCTTCGTTCTCTAGCAGAATACTACCGTGATACACACTGGTCTCTTCCGAGTGGAACCATCTCTTAGTCTCCCTCTAACGTGTCGATTATTCCTTGTTGTTTTAATTTTATTTTTTAGTCTTTTTTATTTTTTATTACCCCCATAATCATTTTTATAAATTTTCTTTTTTTTTTTTTCCCACTCCGTTGATTCTTCTGACTCGCCTTGATCGGAGATCTGTTGTGATCATTCCAACCAACCGATCATCAGTCCTTGACAAACCCACCGACCAACCCATTACCTGTTCCAAAGATCGTCCAGCGGAATCGGAGGCGGGGTTCTGCAGGGGGTCAATCTGGAGCCCAGTGCGGGAAATAATGCTTCGGCTGCCACCCGCCCCGTAATGGGAGGTGTCGGCCATCCTTCTGTCCCCCAGCCCGTCGGCGCTGATGACGCGGCGGCGGCGGCGGCCAGGAAGCGCACCGTCGCCATGGCCGGATTCGAGAGCTCTCCGGGCAGTATTGAGGATGTCGATGACTCCGAGCTGCGCGATGAAAAGAAGAGACAGCCCGTGAAACGCGCTTGCAATGAATGCCGGCAGCAGAAGGTGAGTCACAGCATGCGGTCGGATCCTGGAGGGGCTCTTTGGCTCTTTCGCCGGTCGATGATTTGCTTCTTTGGTGGAACCGAGAAACTAACACCAATTTTTTTTGTTTTCTGGCAGCTGCGATGCGATGTGTCGCAAGACCCGTGGACCGACTGTTCCCGTTGTCGGCGCTTGAGACTCGACTGCAAAATCGAATCCAACTTCAAGCGGGTCGGGAAACGGAGCCGGAATGCTGAGATGGAGCGCGAGATCATCGAGCTAAGGAAGCAGATTGCCACGCAGTCGAATAATTCCTCGCAGGCCCAGCAAACTCCCAAGCAAGAGTCGTCCAGTCAGGTCAGCCCCGCCGTATACCACACGCCTTCGGCCATGTCCGACCAGTACATGGGATCCCATGAAGCGGTGGCGTCCCTCCTCGATTTGCGCTCGGGTTTCGACGGGTCCGGTTATATGCGAAACGGGAATGCTCACTTCAAGCGGATTGAAGACGTCGTGGTGGTGCCTGACAGGGTTGCGGAGCTCTTCGACCTGTAAGCTATACTGACCGCATTTGGGAGTGCGCGATCTGACCCGCATTGCAGCTTCTTCACATTCTACCATCCATTTTTGCCTTTCCTCGATCGACGACAGTCTCCGGAAGAATACCACAGCGCTTCGCCATTGTTGTTTTGGACCATCATCAGCGTGGGCGCACGGCGATTCCAGCCCGATACCAACCTCCTCAATTCCCTCGCGGGGCCGGTGTCACGGCTGGTGTGGAGTACATTGGCCGACATTCCACAAAGCTACCACGTGGTCAAGGCGCTCTGTCTGCTCTGCTCTTGGCCCTTCCCGACCAGCAGCACCTCCACGGACCCGACTTTCATGCTCTGTGGCATGATGATGCAGGTCGCCATGCAGCTAGGGCTCCATCGTCCTTCACACACCCAGGATTTTAGCAAGTTCCGGGTGGAGCTGATCGAAGAGGAATTGAGAGACAAGGTGCAAACGTGGGCAATGTGTAATGTTGTCGCGCAGCGGTATGTTCTTCCCTCCATGACCTTGCGGTCGTTGTTCTGACCAGGCCTCAGTGTTGCGACCGGTTATGGACAGCCGCCGTCGACGTTGTACGATTGGACTCTATCATCCAGCGAATCGGCCGATATGAATTTCAAATTATCCGAGGATATTCGGCCTAAGCTCGAGATCGAAAAGTTCTGCGACAAGGTCACCAAGTCGCTTTACACGAATCGACGCGATCCGGTCGGGCTATGTAGCGACCAGGAACGGTCGACCTTGATCTCCTTTCTTTCGCGGGACTTTGACGAGCTTGAGAATCAGCTCAAGTCCCAAAATGACTGTATGCTCGACTGGCTCTCTTGGAGAGCGATCGACTGACTAAAGATCTTAGGCATCACACACCTTTATCTGCGCGCCTCCAATCTGCACCTGCACCTGTCGGCTTTCTTCGATGACCCCACAGCCAAGAAATACCGAGAGCGTCTACTTGCGCTATATCTAGCAACGACGTCATTCCTCGAAGCCGCAATGAACCTGGAGACGAGAGTGGGGCCCGTGCTGTCCTACACGCCATACTATGTGTACCAGATGATGGTAGCCGGCAGCTGCACGCTGCTGAAGCTATCCAAGAGCTTCTTCGCGTCGCACATTGACATGGAGTACACGAAGAACCTGTTCAACCGGACGATCTGGGCCATCCGCGGCGTGTCGGTGTCCAACAACGACCTCCCCGAGCGGCTGGCCGAAGTCTTGGCACAGATGTGGAGATTGGGCAGCACCACGTCGGTGAAGCAGGCCGCCGACAACGCAGAGATGGACAACTCGTTGATGTTGAAGGTTCGCTGTCGCATGAGCATGTCTCTGCTGTTCGACTCGGTTTGGCGGTGGCGAGAGGATGCGCGGACCAAGGGGCGTAACATTGAAGGTATGACGTATTTTTCACCACAAACAGAATCACAAACTAATCTATACACCAGCATATCTCAAAAACCCAACCAACCCAGACTCCAATGCCGATTCCTCCGCGTCCTCCTCCGTCGGCGTCGTCCCGAACTCAACCACGCCAGGCGTGTCAGGCGCAGACCCAAGCTTAGCCCCAGCCCCTCTCCTCCCACCCTCCACCCTCGGCATAACGACAGGGAACACAGTCGGCGGCCTACCGAGCGGCTTCATGGAGCCCAACTACGAAGTCTTCGATCCGCTCAACTGGCTGTTAGACGGGTTGGTGGATCTCCCTTACTCATCATACTCGACTATGTCGGGGATGGAGACGCAGGGGATTGCCTAGCCCAATCCCACCCTCTGTCGTTTTATTCTTACTTATTATGATTTTATGCGTTTTTGCGTTCCTGTTTGCATATACCATGGGACGGACGCCACCGGAGTATAGTATTCGGTTGGATGGACGTGGAGTCTGGATTGTTTATTGATTGATTGATTGATTGAGTTATGGAAGACATGCAGTGATGATTTATTTCTGAAGTAAATACTTGTCAGATTAGCTAGTTTGTATAGTGAATGTCATGAACATATGCATAAGATATACCCAGCTACCTTACGATTATGCCAAGCATTACGTAGTACGGAGTACAACTACCGCATTTGAAATAGATGTCAATCATACCTAAATAACTACTCTTTCTATCAACCACTACTCCATCCATATCTCACCAAATCCCACACCTCACACCTCCACAATAACAAGAAGAACCAAGAACCAAAACCCAAGAAAAGAAAAACCGCCAACCCAGAAGATTCAATTCGAATAAGAAAAAAACAGAGACTGAGGAGAAAAAATGCCCTTCGAAACAACCCGCCCACCCCAAACCCTCCTCATTCCTAAAAAGCGACCCCTCCTCGAGCCAGTCAAACCCAAGGTTATTCACCAGCATCAGCATCGGCATCATCAAGCTTTGAAAGAAAACACTTCTAGTACCACCACCACCACCACTAAAGGAAAAGAAGAAGAACAAACCCAGCCCACAGAATACGACTTCGCGCGCATCCCGCAGCCTTTCTTGGATCCGCGCCTGTGGGAGAATATCAAGGCTGTGGATTCTTTGGTTACTTCTTCTACTGCATCTACTGCTGGTGCTACTACCGGTGACACTTCTTCTTCTTCGAGAATAAGCAATCGGGAGAGAAGCGCAACGAATGAGAAAGAAGCAGAAGAAGAAGACAGAAAGAGGAGGGTGAGAGAGGCGGAGTATGGGGGGATGGCGGTTAGGGGGAGGATTGGGGTGAGGGGGGGGTATCGATGATTTTCTTTATTCCTCTGATTTTATGATGATTATGATGTGTTTCTTATTCCTTACTTCTGGGGTGACCGCGCTTTTGTCTATGTGCTGTTTTGATACTATATTATACGATGGATGGCGTATACGGTTGGTTATGTACTGTAGATAGCAGGTCGGTAGGTAGGTAGATAGAACTGAATGCATAACTCGTGATATGATACACTCAAGGCATAAAACATGAAGATAGATCAATTGACTGGATCAAGTTGGGATCGATCATCCTGAATCAACAATATCAAAGCCAAATTCAATGAACGGTATAAAGACAAAAACAAGAAAGCAAGCAGGTATATCTCATCTCATCTCATCAAGTCATGACTCGTAACTCATAACGACATAAAATTTGGAACAAAAGCGAAAATGCAAAGAAATCAAATCGCAGAAAAAAGAATCAATCAATCAACCGTGTACGCATCAATCTGGTCACATCATGAATTATCAGGCAATCCATGCCACCACTGCGCAATCCCCCTCGTACTCGAGCCAAGCGGTTTCATCTCGCCGATACTCTGCTTGAGCTTTTCGCGGCGCGCCTCGCGCTTCCCCTCGGCGCGTTTCTGGAATGTCCGGCGGAGGCGTTTGCGGAGGTTGCGCACGTTGCCTAGACGGAGGCGCAGGCGCCACCAGGATACGGAGCGGAAGCGGTCTTGGTGGAAGGATGTTTGCGAGCGGAAGGCTTCGGGGCTGAAGACGCTTGTCTCGACGGTGTGCCGGTTGGTGGCAGCGCTGTAGGGAATTGTGATGTCAGAGGGCCGCGGGGCGGGACGGTGCGGGGACAGTGGCGGCGGGGGTCCGTTGAAGGCCACGCGCTGTTGTGGCATGCCGAGCGAGTTGCTGATGACGTTGTCTGGGTCGGTGTCGCGGAAGCGCATGCTCTCTTCGCGCGGGGAGTCGTCTTCTGGTTCGGACGATTCGGGCCAGAAGCGCCGGGGCCGCCAGAATGGGTGCAGGCTGTGGTCGATTTCCTGTCCCGCTTTGCGGTTCTCCGCTGAGCGCAGGGAGAGCGAGCGTATGAAGGAGTGGAAGGACTCTGAGCCTGGTCGGATCCGTGGACGCCGTGCTGATGCCACGCGGCGGAAGGGACCCGGGTTGGTGTCGTTCGTTGCTGTGCGGCTGAGGTTCGTCGCCGTCGGGGTGAGGTTTGTCGCTGCGGGGCTAAGGTGCGGCCCTGCGGGGCCGAGGATGGTCGGTGCGCGGCTGTGGTTCGTCGTGGCGGGGGTCAGGTCCGTCGCGCTGTTGACGGTCGGCGGGATGACCTTGCAGGCTGGAGGCTCAGGCGGCGAGCGGGGGTTGACCAAGGGTGATTCCGCGTTGCATTGCATTTGCATCTCGGGCGTCCGTGGCTCGGTGGTCTCCTGATAGAGCTGTGACGCTTGGCGCTCCGCCTGCTCGCGCACCTGTGGGTCGACCAGTAAGATCGACTCGTTGTTGTGCGGGAAGAACGCCACGGTGATGGCCTCGTTGATCTCGATCGGCCCCGGGGACAGCGACGGGAACGAGGGGTGCGTCGCCGTCACTGCGGGCGAATGGAGATGCGCCATGTCTTCCACGCCGATCAGGATGGACTGCGTCCGCGGGACGTCGGTGGATGGAAACTCTCGCCCCGCGAGCTTCTGGGACTTTTGGGGCTGGCTCGGTACGGCGTCCATGGCGAGGGTGTGGTGACGCAGGCTCTCCGAGGTGAGAGACGTGGAGCGGGAGTTGTTGCGGCTCGTGGGCGCCGACAGCGAGGAGCTCCGGGGCGGGACGACGGGGTGCCCGAACGCGCTCTGCGTGGAGCGGGCGCTCGAAGGGGATCGGGTCCGCCGTCGGGACCGGGACTGATCGAGAGACTCGGTTCGGCTCCCGGACCGTCGACGCGAGCGACGAGACGAATCCACTTTGGACGGATCCCTGCTGCTCGGGGCGGACGACTGCGCGGACGATTTGAGGGACGAGCGTCGCTCGGGGATCACCACGACGGGGACGACCTCCACCTGGGGCGAGGCGACCCCGCTGAACGTCGACATCTCCGAGGCGGAGATTTCGGACGCAATGCTGCGCCGATCACTGTCCGAGATCCGTCCGATCTTACGCACCAAGCGGTGATGATGCGCATCCGAATGGGAGGACGTGGATGCGCGTTCGGACTTGGTGACGGGCGAGCTCGTCGAGCGCAACGAGGACCTCTTCTCGCTGTGCCGCAGACTGTGCCGGGCGGGGGGCGGGTCGATGATCATGACCTCGACGGTGGACGCGGTGGATATCCCCGAGGACCGGCGGCTGTCACCGGGCTCGGGCAGACCCGCCCCACCGCCCGACGGCCATCCAACCTGTTCGCGGAACTGCTCGATCGACAGGCTGGCCACGGGGCCCTCCGAGCTGCTCGCCAGATCCGACGCTCTCGGGGCCGTCTGGTGAGCGGACGGCTGGGGGCGGGCGGACGTCCCTGTCGAGGGCTCCGGGTTCCCCGAGCGTCGCGCCCTCGCAAACGGTCGCGATTTCGGTTTCGGCGAGCCCGTCGAGGCGGTCTGGTCCGCGCGCGCCCTCGGTTCGGGGGTTCTGGCCTCGCTCCGTCGGAACGTCTTGGGCAGCAGGCACTGGACGGACCGGCCCGGGGTGTCGGGCTCGCTGTCGGAGAACATCTCACGGGCGGTCTGGAAGGAATCCTCGCGCGACGAGCACGACGACCGCCCGCCGTGGCTCAGGCCTGGTCGTCGGTGGGTCGGGGTGCGGCGTGGTGGGGTGGACTCTGGGGTGGGAGGGTGTGATGGTTTGGGCGAGATGACCCCTTCGATCACGGATGGAGAGACGACGTTCTGTTTGTTACCGTCGTTGGGGCGGGTGTCTTCGTGAGAGACTCTGGGAGGCGTCAAAGGGAGACTGGGAGCTGTCGGGGGAACAACATCCTGACCGGGGCTGCCATCCTGACCGGTGGGCTTTATAGGCAAACACTGGACGGTTTGGAGGACATGTGTCTTTCGGGGAAGGGCCTTATGGGACCTGAACAATGAGCGGTCCAGGTGTTCTGGCGGGGCGGGAGCGGTGCCAACGATCGCGATGCTGGGCATCTTCGCTTTGTTTTCCTCGTCTTTCTCTTTCTTTTTTCCTCTTCCTTCTCCCCCCTTATTGTTTTTTTATTTTATTTTATTGGGTATGTGTTTTTGCTTTTTTGGTGACGGTCCCTGACCATTTGACGGTACAAATAAGCCGACGAACCCACCGGGAGGGCCCAAGTACAGTTGGCAAACTGGGCGTGAGGGCGGATGGGGGGAATGATTGGGCGTAGGAGCATGACACCGCAAGTGTTTCAAAGGAGATTGGACCAGGAAAGCAGAGGTGGGCGTTGCATAGCGGGACCGGTCGTGTCCCTACATTCAGGATTAAATAAAATAAAATAAAAGATAGGAAAAGTAGGTAAAAGAAAAAAAAAAGAAAAGAGAGAAAATAAGATCGAAATAGAAAATGGAAGAAAAAAGGGCAATAATTATGGGTTTATTGATTTTCTCTTTTTGTTTTTCAAATCTCCCTTGATTGTTGACCTCGATCAGTGTCGTCGCATGATTGTTGGATGCAGAAAGCAAGTGAGGGCGTGGAGAGGCAAGGTGTAAGAATGAAACCTCACCAACAAAGGTTCGAAATGAGTAGAGAGAAATGAAAGAGAGATGATCCCACGTTACAGATCAATGAGGATCTTCCAGAGGTATGGAGAGGGGATCCAAATTCCACGGTGAGAGAGAGGGGGGGAGGGAGAAGGAGAGGGAGAGAAGTGACGCGACAAGAATGCCACGATGCGAATGGGAGGCTCTCAAGATACAAAGCCAAGAGAGGGGAATCAAGAGGGAGAGAGATCGTCAAGAATCGAGGGAGAACATTCCAGATTGGTTGACGATGTCTGCGGTCTGGTTCGGATTGACCGTCTGCAGCGTTGGCGGATATCCCATCCGGGTCCACGGGGAGGGTTTGTTTGCGATCAAGTGTGGGGGGGGGGGGGGATTGGAGATGAGCGTGGTCTAGTCTAGAACAGAGACTGAAGGAGGGGAGAGAAGACCGGAAGAAAGAAGAAGAAGAAAAAGAAGAAGCCAGGGTTGCAAGATGCAGCGTTGACACGATGTCCGGGGGAGAGTTTCGGGAAAGGAGCCGATGGAGGGGGAGGAAGCATCGTGACCCCTGCAGGCAGACTTGTATACAATCATTGCCATGTACTTCGTACATTAGTAGATATACAGGAGGCTATACCCCGTAGTATCTCTATACCGATGCGCTCTATGGGATGTGAAACATGATTGGTTGCTGGGATTCCCCCAATCATTCCAACATAATCTATAAAATCTTATTTATATCACATATAGGCGAGTAAATGAGATGACGAAGAATGACGCGACACGCCACCAAGAGAGGAACAATTGAGGTCATTCTGTCTTGATATGGTGGCTGACTGAGAGATGAGTCAGCACGTGATATCCAGGATTGTCCCGGATCCTCCTACGTCATTGTTGTTTTCATAAATCCATCTGTCTGATAGACTTGACAATCTTATAGAACATTCATGATTATAATATTGTCATGTCTATCAGTCTATCAATACAGAAGAGAATCTGTTGAATCAACAAAATAAAAAATCACAATCAAACAGATCTGGGAATCAACTGATCCGCCCATGAAAAAAAAAAAGATAACATCATCGCTCTTCCACCCGTCACATCTTTCCCCACTGCCCTCTTTCAAGCCTAAAAAAAATTAAATTAATTCCATCCCCTCCAATAAACTTCCTTTGTTTCCAACTCGCTTAACCTTTTTCTCTTCTTCCTTTTCTCTCTGCTTGGACAGATCTTTTGCTCTGAGTTCTCCTCATTATTCCTCCTTCACAACACCGTCATTATTCAAATCATTTCGACCCCTTTGTATTACCCTGTTTTCTCCGTTGAAGTTAGAGGATCTTATCTGGTAAGTAGTATGATGATGATGATGATGATGATGATGATGATCAAGGTCTCCTGTCGCCTATTTTCTCCCCCGCAAACCTACTGGACAGTGCACTGACAACCCGATCCAGTCCCGACCTTTTTTCTCTCTCCAGCGTCATTTCCCCCGCCCGACCTTTTTCTCTTCGCCACGAGCCTCCATTACCTCATTTTGACTTCTCTTCCTCTTTATCTTCTTCCTTCTCCTCCTCTCCTTTGCTTCTCCTCTGCTCTTCTCTCTTCCTCTTAGCCCCTCTCCCCAATCACCTACCCTTATAACAGATTACTCATCATGAGTACCATTCAAAATCTGAAGAACTTCATACGTCATGGCAAACAGGCCCGCTTGGTGACCCCCCATGCCGAGCCCACCACCAATGTCTCCCCTATCCATGCCGAGCAACAACGTCAACCCCAGGGGTCTTACCCCCCCGCCGCCGGTAATCTGGATGCCATTGACAGTAAATTGGGCAACGGCCAGGCCCAACAACAACCCGCCGCTGCCTCCCACCGCTCCCCGGATCGGAAAGCCCGGGACCTTGAGATTGAACAGATCGTCGCCGAGGAGAAGAGCAGTCAGGCCAATTTGCCCAAGTATCCCGGCCTTGAACGCTGGATCTTGCTGGACAAGATGGGCGACGGGGCTTTTAGCAACGTCTATCGCGCCAAGGATTCCACCGGGGAGTATGACGAGGTCGCCATCAAAGTCGTTCGCAAATTTGAAATGAACAGTACACAGGTAGGTCTATCTCTTCTTTTGTTCTTTCTTTTGCTCTCTACCTCTTTCTTTAGCGCCCTCCTTTTTTTCTTTGTTTTTTTCTTTTTACTCTTGTTTCTTTTTACTCGCTTCTCTCCTTACGAGCCTGGGTTGGCCGTCGCGTCCCCTCGCTGTCCAATCGTGTCATCGTCACTTTGATTCATTGTTCAATCTTCTAGTCCTCGCATCTCCATCCCGACTTCCGACCTCGGAATCCGCTAAAGCCCACAGATGTGCGCATTTCTCCCTGCCTTTCATTCTTCTTTTCCTCACCCGCTTCCCATGATTAGCACCCTCTATCTCTCATTTCTACATGTCTCACTAGCCACCACCGGAATTTGGGCTAACTCCATCCACAGCGCGCCAATATCCTCAAGGAAGTGCAGATCATGCGACAGATCGACCATCCCAACATCATTAAACTCATCCACTTCTCCGAGTCGCGCCAATATTATTACATCGTCCTCGAACTCTGCCCCGGTGGGGAGTTGTTCCACCAGATCGTCCGTTTGACCTATTTCTCTGAGGATCTCAGTCGCCATGTCATCACCCAAGTCGCCAAGGCCGTCGAGTACCTCCACGAGACCTCGGGTGTGGTTCATCGGTACCCCTCCCCCTCCACCCCCCCTCTTCCCCCCTTCTACTGTGGTACCCAGAACACCCACTAACCAATTCGTTTGCAGAGATATCAAGCCCGAAAACCTCCTCTTCTACCCCACTCCCTTCGTTCCGTCCAAGCATCCCAAACCCCGCCAGCCCGGCGATGAAGACAAGGTGGACGAAGGGGAATTCATCCCCGGGAAGGGCGCCGGCGGTATCGGGGTCATCAAGATTGCCGACTTCGGCCTTTCCAAGGTCATCTGGGATAGTCAGACCATGACCCCGTGCGGGACCGTCGGGTATACCGCCCCCGAGATTGTCAAGGATGAGCGCTACTCGAAGAGTGTCGATATGTGGGCCATGGGCTGCGTTCTCTACACCCTCCTCTGCGGCTTCCCGCCCTTCTACGACGAGAGTATCCAGGTCCTGACCGAGAAGGTCGCCCGCGGCCAGTACACGTTCCTGTCCCCCTGGTGGGATGACATCTCCAAGTCCGCCCAAGACCTCATCTCCCACCTCCTGACCGTCGACCCCGAGAAGCGGTACACCATCAAGGAGTTCCTCGCGCATCCCTGGATCCGCGGCACCGACGAGGCCACCGAAGCCGCCGCCGACGCCCCGCCCCTGGCCACGCCGCTCACCAAGCCGCAGAACTCGCCTCTGGACGCCGTCGCCGCCGATCAGGCGCCCTACCCCCCAGCCAGTGCCCGTATGTACGACCAGCCCTCGGCCGGGTTAGATCGTCCCATGGACTTCCGCTCCCCCGGGGCCATCAATCTGCGCGAGGTGTTCGACGTGAGCAACGCGGTCCACCGCCAGGAGGAAGAGAGCAAGCGACGCAAGCACTTCCGGCAATACTACCCGAACAACAACGCGGCCGGCCGGTTCCAGACCCCGCTGAACGCATTGAGTGAAGACTCGGACGACGAGGCGCCGCCGCCGGTGACGTACCAGCCCCTCGGCAAGGACGACAATCTGTCCTCCAAGATGCAGAAGACCGGTCAGCCGCCCGAGGGCGTCGCCGCCATGGAGGCCAAGCTGCGGTCCACGAACCTGGGAGCCGGCACGGCCCAGGCTCCCGCCGCCCAGGCGCGGCAACCGGCGCGACAGGGCTACGGGCAGCACAGTGCGGCAGTGGCCGACGCAGCCCGGCAGAACCTGTCGCGCTCGGGCAAGGCGCCTTTTGAACTGAGTCTGGACAACGCCACCTTGTTGGAAAAGCGAGGCCGGCGCAACCCGCCAGTTATCTAGACTTTTTTTTTCCCCCTTCTTGAGTCTACTGCCACGAATTTCCTTGGATCACACGGGTATCGTATCGGGAATCATGAGTGTTCAGATGACAGTTTGCATCTCTTTTTTTCTGCTGTTTCTTACCATTGTTCGTTATGCAATCTTGTTTGATTTCCATCTGTGGGTATTATGTTTGAATTCGGTTCGGTCGGGACAAAGCATTTGTTATGGGTTTTTTTTTTACATTTCTTTCTCTTTTCTCTTTCTGTTCTTTTTATCATGTTCTCTCCCCTGTGTCATGCGAAAGACCGCTTGTCGCATGCTTTTTGCTTTTGCTTTTTCTGTTTATTTCCTCTTGTGGAATACATATATACCTTGTACATGGAGAGAGAGAATATATGGCATGCCATGACACGGCTGGTCGTTGTCGATTTTTTCTAGTCGTACCTTTATTTGTAGTAATCTTGTAGTAAGTAAGAACGAAGTAAGATAATATAGGTAGGCGATAGATATACTGCTGACAGCAAGCAAAATATAGCGTAGTACAGCGCAGTAAGTATATGGGTATGTATATAGGTACGTATATAGGTATGTATGTATGTGTGTATATGTATAAAGCCTCATCAACACGTCGAAAAAAAAAAAAAAAAAGAATCAAGACAAAAATTGGACGAAAGCAACGTTGGTATCAAAAGATCAATGACAATAAGAAAAAGAGAAAGAAAAGGTAAGAAAAGGCAACGCATCCCTCCCGTAGACAGAACCCCGTGGGGGTTCATGCATGCACTAGGGCGCGTTGCTTAAGTGGGGACCGTTGTATCATGTGGAGAGGACAAAAACAACGGATATGCATACTCCAGCGTAGTAAGTATGTAAAACTTTTAAAGAGTCTGCTTTCCCCTCGTCTCGATCGGCAGCAGAACCATCGAGACGAACGCAGCGAGGATAAGGCCGCCAGAGGCGTAGATCGGGGCATTGGGGTTCGCGTCGCCGGCGTAGATGGCGACGATCGGGGCACACAGGCCCGCAATGCGATTCAGACAGCTGGCGATGCCGGTGCCCGTGCCGCGGTTGGGGGCGGGGAACACCTCGGGGGTGTAGGCGTAGAGCACGCCGTACATGATATTCTGGAAGAAGGCGACGAGGCAGGTGCAGACGAGTTGGATGTCTGGGTCTGGGGAAGAAGTGAAGCAGAAGGTGAGGATGCCTGTGATCATGGTGGAGAAGGCCATTGTGCCCTTGCGGCCGATGTACTTCATGTCGACTGTGTAGCAGGCGATGATGGAGCCCGGGACGCCGACGATGGAGGTGATGGCGTAGTTGCGGTAGACGATGTAGGTGGGTTGTTCCTGCTCGCCGCCGGCCTGTTTGATGTACTGGGGCAGGAAGGCGTTGAAGAGCGGGTAGCCCATGCCGATGGTGGCCCAGCAGAACCAGAGGATGAGGGTCGTGATTGCGAGGCGGGTGGTGGCGAAGAGGGGCGCGATGCGCTGGAGAGAGAACTTGGAGACGTTGCGTTTGAGGATCTCGGCAGTGCTGAGTTGGGTGTCCTCGGGCGTGATCTCGGCGTGGCCGCCGATTTCGTTGAGGATGGAGGTCGTGAGCCAGGTTTGGGCGCCGTTCTTGTAGGCGATGCCGTGGACGGCGGCGACGGCTTCGTCTTGGCGGCCGCGCGAGAGGAGGAATTTGGGAGACTCGTAGAGGTGGAAGAGGAAGAAGCGGCAGATGAACATGACGAAGGTTAGGGCACCGAGCGTGAGGACGAGGTAGCGCCAGCCCATGTTTTGGTCCTTTGTGCAGGGGATGTCTTCTACGCAGGTGTAGTTGGGGATGAATGCCCATGCGAGGAGGCTGTAGGATTGAATCGTGAGCGAGGTGGATGGCTGAGGAGGTACAGGGGAACGTACGATGCGATCAGGTTGCCCACGGGCCACCAGACACTGAGCATGGTGAGGAGATTGCCCGAGGCGAAGGGCAGGAATTCCAGGAACAGCGCTCCATCCACGGGCAGATTGCCACCAACGCCGAGACCCAAGCAGGAGAACAGGGCACAGGCACTAGATCGGTTAATAAATGCTAACCCGACCACGTCGATGGTATAGACTAGGGAGAGACATACCCAATCCAGGTTGGGGCACCACCGGCCGCCAAACCGAAAACACCCGCGATGAAAAGGGTCATGTTGAACGCCGGACGACGTCCAATGATGTCCGACGCGAGACCCCAGAACGAGGCTCCGAGACACAGACCCAGGAACAAGGCGCAAGTGGTGAAACGGACCCGCGAGGAGGATACATCAAACTCCATGGACAGTTGGGGCAAGGTGAGTGCGACACCCTAGAGAAAACAATCAGTATCGCCGTATCTCTCAGGATATATCCAATCATGCGATGGCCATACCTGCAGCCAGAGACTAAACCAGAAGTTGTCAGTAACAGCAGCGAGCGCGTATGGTACGAATACTCACTTATCCGCCAACCAACCAAACCCACAGAGCGCAAACAGCTCCCACTGATAACGGCCCATGCCGATATCTTGAATCGCGCGATTGATAACCTTGGCTTTGCCTACAAAGGGTCAGATCGAACATTCACCGGGGTTGACATCTGGCAAAGATATTCCAGCCAAGAAAAAAAAAAAAAAAGCCGCAAGGTTCAAACATAAACATACGGTCATAAGTGCTATCATGACCTGACGCGACAACATCACCCTCGACCTCAGCGCGCAAAGCTTCAATAGTCATCTGGTTATAGTTGCGAACAGACCCCTCGCCCTTCTCGGACGGGGCCTGATCCACGCTCTTGTCATCGGAACCGGTCTGGTTGTCTACCTCAAGGGAGCTCTGGGCATGCGCTGGCGCTGGGGCAGTGGAGAGGGGCACGACGACCCCGGGGAAGTCGGTGTGGTCATGTTTCTGGAAGGGGTTGATCCAGACCATGGTGGCTCGCTTCGGGGGATCTTCGATCTACTTTTGAGTTGTGGGGATCTGCTGCTGTCGCAATGGTCGCACAGGGTCAGGGATAGGATCGTGGGAGGCGCAATGGCAGTTGGATCGGGAGGATGGAATCGGTTGCACCGCGCTGGGATCTGGGATCTGGGATCGGAGTGGGAAGTGCTGCTGCTACTGCGCTGTATAGATGAAGCTTTCACGAGGGAGGGGGTAGAATTGGTAGGAACTGTTTGAATCAGATACTAGCCACGATCTAGATGTCAACGGGTGAGTATGATGCGATCGAACTACACCAGTTGATGCGATCTGGGTAAGAAGAAACAAAGAAATCTCCAGATCAGAGAAGGAGAGGACAGCGAAAGGAAGAAGAGACGCAAACAGAGAGACAACGGCGATCAGGGCATTTTATTTGATTTCCATCCATTCTTTCTTTTTTTCTTTTAAGAAAGAAAATTTAAATAAAAATCAAATAAAATGTTTCTACTTTTTTTAATTATAATACCATAATATCATCTTTATCAAGCCAATAAATAAAATACCAGACCATACCCGGATGGGAGGCCATCCTGCGAGATAGGATATGATCGTGAGGAATTGTCGGTATGGCGTCGGTATCTGTACGATCAGTTAGTGCAGTTTAGTGGCAACTGCGCGCGACCTCTCTTTCCTCATTGGGTTAAACTGCCAAGGATGCAGGGAATCCATGGTTGATTAGTAGACGGGGTCGATTTACTTTGATGGGGTGGGATTGATCCCAGTCGTTGTTGGTTCTGGCGGGGTTGAAAGCTGCCCATGGGGATCAAGGTCCAGGTGGTAGATATAGAATGATCCTCCTTCTGGTATGTTGAGGATACCTAGTTTAGACTTGAGTTCAATAAGTTCATTCCACAAGTCTTTATATGCATACTCAAAATCTGCCACTGACATACCCTACCCAGGTAAAGTAGGTAATACCAACCCTTGGCGGAGCGTGGACTAGACTACACCCGGATAAGCCGTTGGCGCTGACGGGATGGCGTTCAAAGGCGCGATCCACCCGTGTCTGCCGTCTTTTTCTTTTCTCTCTCACCATTAGCATGTCTATGATTATCTGGATCGGTCTGGTTTCAGATCTTTGCAAATGAATTCTAGGAATCAAGCAAGGGGGTCGGTTGATCTCTCGTATTCCGCACCTCCACGTGCACTGCTTATGTACAAATGCACCTAGAGGTACATAATCAATACTAACCGAATGCAGTCTAGCCCTGCATAATTCAGCCAGACCACTCGGTCGGTACCTTATGCGCGTATCAATCTAGTCCAAATCAGTATTAAATATTACAGACTACTCCCGATCACACGGTCTATCACCACCAATCGTCCAACATACTGGAGGGAAAAAAAGAAACAAAATACGAAGCGGGACAAACCCCTCTTGGCATCAGAAACTTTCATCGTCAATCTTATAACTCGCCAACGCCACATTCGCGACCGAGCCTTGTCCTCTCCCAGTAAGAGATCGTCAAAGATGTCAGCGCCGGGACCCTTAATACGGTCCAGCGCTTAGGTTGGCTGGTTCGCTTTCCGCTTGCGAATTCGCCTGACACAGGGCGGGCGGGCGCCGGGCTGGGTTTGCCTGTTTGCGGTTTGCGTGCGTTTGCCCGGTCCGGTATTGGGGATTTGTTTATACATTTTTTTTTTACTCATTGTTTTGTTTCATTTATTTATTTGGCATTAGTATTCTTATTTTCTTTTTATGGTTGTGGTAATTTTTATTACATGATTAGCTTGGCTAGTATTCAATAGCTGAGTTAACTAAGTACCACATGGTTCTTACTTGAAAGTTGAGTGAGACTTCTACTAATACTACAGTGAGCCCTGTCGAAGGAGAATGCGACAATATCTGATCAACTGATGCTACCTTGCTAGAGTCGGTTCAAACTCGGTTTAAATCTGTATAAAAACCTCAGGCAAATAAGGCAACCACAGTTTTGATGGACCGTGCGATCATCCGGCACGTGGCGTTCTAGACCAGTGAGACGGTGTCGTATCTTTCAATCCAGAGATGAGAGGTCCTCTCCACCCTCCCGATTTGTATTCCTGACGTGAATGCCAGAAAGATTCCAACATAATGAGTTCGAACACACTGATGGTTTCTGTGTATGATGGGTAACTCCTAGCTTGAGTGGATGATGAGTTGTCAATATGGAGAGTAAGTGTCGGAGAGAATACCACTCAGCTACAAAAGATATCTAGACACTTCTGAGCTCGGTGGGTACCCTTTTATGCACGATCTTAAATTGCGACAGTAAACTACAACCCACGTGAGGTATGACCGTCCGGACTCCCAATCATAACTCATCCACCCGCCCCAGCAACCTCTCCAAGTGGCGATAAGTCAAGCGCGGCTGATTCGACGGCTGCATATGCCCCGTCTGGAACGACTGCGCCCACATCAACCCGCGCTCATAGTGCTGCACGCCCATCACCCCCTGCCCGTCCTGCCACCCCGTCACGTTATTTGCCATAAACACGTCCCGGTACTGCAGGTCCGGCAGCGTGATGTTGATGGGCGTGCTCGGCGCCGCCTGGAACCCCAGCGCCCCGTTCCACGTCATGTTCTGGATGGCGAGCAGCGTGCCGTTCGTGAGAATGATCATGTCGTAGTCGCCGTTGCTGACGAGCACCCGGTTCGTCGCCTCAATCACCTGCGGCAGGACCGTCTCTATGGGGTTGGCGGAGAGGTCGCCCTCGGCTCCGGGCCCGCCGACGAAGACGGCGTCCTCTGTGCACGCGGCCCAGGTGATATGCTCGGGCGCGTGTAGGGCGCGCTTGACGTCGGCCCGGTCGAAGTACACTGTGGCGCCGGCCGGTTGGTAGAAGAAGGCTGTCGGGAAGGCTAGTACGTCCCACTGCAGGGGACACATCTGGGAGATTTGGTAGATGTTGAAGCATGGGTTGTTCTGTAGCACGGCGGCGTTGATGGAGCCGAAGATGTTGCAGCTTGTTGCTTCGTCCGTGGCGTTGAATGATACGGGCGGCTGCGGCGAGGATGGTGGGAAGGTGAGGTACTTGTCCATGTAGGACTCGTAGCCGCAGGTTTTGTGCAGACTCTCAATCTCCTCCATGAAGCTCGCGTTGAAGTTGAAGAGATTCGCGTTTTCTTGAACGAAAGGCACGGCGGGGGCTTGTTCTTGCACGTAGTCGTATTGCCCGATGCAGGGATCGTAGACCAGGGCGCCTGGTCAGATTGAGAAAGGGGTTTCATTTGAATAGAGCTGTCTGGCTTGGCCACTTACCCTGCATGTCGTAGTACTCCGTGTCATTCTGGTCCAGCATGGCCGCTGAGATGTACGGCACATAGCGGCCCGCATAGCTCTCCCCTGTCACGAAGATCCTAAATCTCTTGATCCCGAATATTTGCTGGAAGTTCTTGAAGAACTTGACAAAGTCGTCGGCTATATCCTCCTGGGACGTGGCTGTCGGCGTGCCAAGGGCGAATCCCGCCCCGACAGGCTGGTCAACCCTAGTTCATTTAGCACATGGTCAAGGCCTCGGGGCAGACCGGAATAAAGTATAAACAAATGGAGAAATTATCGTCAAACGTCAGCATACCACAGCATATTGGTGAGATTAACCCAGGAATATGGATTCTGCACCGGCAGATACGTGCCTTTCTGCCAGAGGAACCGCCCATTCTCCTGGAAGAAGCCCTGAAGCGAGCTGCAGCCCGGTCCACCGTTGAGCCAGATGGTAATTTCGTCCACAGGATCCCCGATAGTAGGTTGAAATACGAAGAAAAGAGACCGTGGGTCGTTGCCTTGGTCGACGGGCACCGACCCAGAGTACATTTCCCCGATGTCGAAAGGGACATCGGGTAGGCTTTCGACTAGGTACGCTGTGGAATTATCTCAGATCAGCCAATGTTTGGGCAGTAATCATAGATAAAGTGCTAACGGATGTTGATGGCGCACGTTTTGTCTCCTGGTTCAGGAAGCGGAAGTCATCCTGGGGGAGTTTCAATGGCGCTTGCTGCGGGACGGCACGTCCAGACAGTCTCTGCGCGTCGCGGACCTTTTGTCCAAATGGCCCATGTTTAGCGGCTGAGATTTTGCCGGTGCAGAGTAAGATGATCAGCAGAATATATGGGAAATGAAGAGCTCGAGTCTTCCACATTTTGGCGATATCATGGAAAATTACATAAATAGCACCGGGGTACCCAGGTCCGTCTCCAAAGGGAAGACGGTCCAATTTATATGATCAGAATTCAGTGCTACTATACCCTTGTCTTGTATGTCAGCTATCAGTGACACGTCTGCCTGGGAAACGAGGGGAAATAGACCGACTGATGGCCCGTGAGAGATCCAAGCCATTTTCGTCCATCGGGAAGCCCGATTCATCTTAAGCCTTTTTATCCTTGAACACTAGCTCCTAAGAGGCACATGCTAACAAGAGCATGGCTGGTGTTCGCGCAACGCAACTCGTTGTTGGCTGTTAGGCTCCACACAGTTGCACCTTACTGTATGATGTCGGCACATTAGCGACCAAAGGCCTTCTATCATTCACTTATCCATGGGGATTAGTTCATTGATCTGGCTGATTTGGGAATAACTTGTGTAAGTCGTTCGCCATTTCACTGGATGATCTTTTGACACTATACCAATCGGGGGATGGCAAATTGTCAGAAATGATGAGTGGTCCGATAAATCCTTCTGATGTAGACTATCCCTGTCTGATAAATAACCCGAGTAGACGGGAGAAGAGAAAAGAGGAAAGTTGAAGTTAAAGGTCAGGTGTCACGACTAAGGTTCTCGGTCACCTGCTCAACTCCTTCTTCCTCCTTTCTCATTCTGCTTCACCCTTCACTTCATATCCAACCATCAATCCAGGTCCCTTTATCCCGTTCATATATTCTAGATCATCTCTAATTTTCATAGTACTGGTGTCCTTCTCCCATTACTTGCGCTATCGGACTAAAGTGAGGAACCATAAGCATGTCTACGCCATCAGTCCCGGCGTCGACTGGAGACCATTGGATTCTCTGCCAAAATAGCCATTGCGTGGATCATCAGCAAAAGGTCAAGAATTGCCCCAGAGATGGACACCATTCCGGGATGCCCCACTTCCCGCCGGGGCACCGAAAACGGTGCCCGCATTTTTGGTCTTCATCCAGATTTACTATCTCTTCATGATCAGTCGAGCGCTTGTGCTTGTACTTTGCCCCCCTTTTGTATGCTCATTTCTTGACCTGCTCATTGCCTACATCAACGTCAAAACTGGTGTTATTCAAGATCGAAACCCCGAACAAGTCCACCCGATGGAAGTTTGTCTTATATATCTTCCGAATCGTTCTCCACCGACCTTCCTGTTCCTGTCTAGCCTTCCCTGTTGTTTACCGCGGGCAAACCCCATTCTGTGAAGGATTCGCCAATAGGAATTGTTGCAGAACAACTTCCCCGAAGAGAAAAAAAAAAAGAAGAAAAAAATTGCTTAGAAGAAACCAATAGGCTTGGCTCCATCGGTTCCAGCGATGACCCCTCTCTCTTTCGGCTTTCATCAGTCATATCGCCTCGCTGCCTCCCACCTCAATCACAGATGAGCCATTTCCTCAAGTAACTTTGGTCGCTAAAGATCGCTCAGCAGCTTCAACTTCTTCTCATTCTGTCTATCAAATCGTTCTACTCAAATCGGCAGCAAAGCGGAATCAGACTGGTTTTGTGGAAGCAACAAGGTCAACCATAATCCACTTAAACCAGCTATCTATACTGACATGCTCACTAACTCCAGAGATCCTGGATCCCCGGCCCAAGACGAAACCCAGCAGCATGGGACGGAAAAGCAGCTTTATCAAAGTCACCAAACACCATTATCCCCGTCTTCTGGAGCACAGTCCGCCACGGGCGACACATGCAACCGTTCTAGGCCCCGTGATGGAGGTTTGGACGGTGATCGAGAGAAGAATCCACAGGGTTTTCCCCAGGAACTTCACCAACACTCTTCCACCCGTTCGCCGGATGCACCGACCTCAGTCGAGCAGGCTCTTCCAAGATCATCCGAGGACTGTCCTTCGGACCTGTCAGCTCATGGGGTGCCCGTGAGCCGTGTGACCACCGATGCCGATGGGAACACCTATCCTGAAGGCGGACGGGATGCATGGCTGGTGGTCCTGGGCAGCTTTGCGGGCCTTTTTGGCACTCTCGGCTTGGTAAACTCCATCGGGACTTTCCAAGCCTACCTGGAGAACAATCAGCTCAAAGATCTGGGTTCTGGCAAAACTGGGTGGATCTTCGGCATGTATGCCTTTCTCACCTTCTTCTGCGGTGTTCAAATCGGCCCCATCTTCGACGCCAAGGGTCCCCGGCTGCTGGTTCTTGCTGGTTCTGTCTTGACCGTCGTGATGATGGTTGCGATAGGATTCTGTACCCAATATTGGCACTTTATGCTCGTCATCGGTGTCACTGGAGGTCTAGGGACTTCTTTGATCTTTACACCTGCGATTTCTGCCGTCGGTCACTTCTTCAATAAAAAGCGTGGTGTTGCAACTGGCATTGCGGCAACGGGTGGTTCCGTGGGCGGTATTGCTTTCCCCTTGATCTTAGAAAGACTATTCCCCCTGGTAGGGTTCGCATGGGCAACTCGAGTTGTTGCCCTAATTTGTTTGATTCTGGTGGTTGTCGCATGTCTCCTGGTGAAATCGCGACTGCCCAAGAAGCCAGCCTCTAGGGAGAACGTTCTCCCTGACTTTCGCATCCTGCGAGAGCCACGGTTTGCACTTACAACTGCTGGGATCTTCTTTGTGGAATGGGGCCTCTTCATTCCGATCAGCTATATCTCTTCTTATGCATTGGCCCACGGTGTTTCTCATACATTGTCCTATCAACTACTAGCCATCCTCAATGTGGGCTCTTTCTTTGGACGAGGTATCCCTGGGTTTGTTGCCGACTACCTGGGTCGATTCAACACCCTAATTGCCACCGTGGCACTATGTCTAGTGTGCAATGCCTGCCTCTGGCTCCCGGCCGGTGACAGCGTCCCTTTGATGATTGTATACTGCGTCATTTTTGGTTTTGCAAGTGGCAGCAATATCAGCCTTACTCCTGTCTGCATTTCACAACTATGCAAAATCGAGAATTATGGGAGGTACTACTCTACAGCGTACACGATAGTTAGCTTTGGGTAAGCTAAGATCCTTCTGTTTTTCAAGCTCAGCGAGAACACGTGTGCTAATCATTTAAAGTACTTTGACAGGCATCCCAATCGCGGGTGAGATCCTGGCTCGCTGCAACGGAGACTACTGGGGCCTCATAACCTTTACCACCTGCTGCTACGCTGTCGGTCTAGCCTGTGTGACTGCAGCCAAGTTGGTCCATGTCGGATGGCGTCAACCCTGGGCCCTCTATTAAGCAAAGGATCACCGGTTTCCCATGTCGTCCGCACAAGCCGCTGCATCGAAGCCGCTACATCCGACACTGAATTTGGCATTTGCATCTCGAAAATGGATTATATCACAATAAGCCACATCAATGGCCTAATGATTCAACGACTCAATGGCTTTCAGGCAGGTGAGGAAGACAAATTCGACTATAGACGCCACGGCGCCGATAAGAAGCACACGAAGTAGGAGAGGAGATGGCAATGTGTAAATACAGCGCTTGTTCTAGGCAAGGAAATGGCCCCAGATGCCACAAAAAGCCAGTGGCTTTCTGGACCAGCGGATCAATAAAAATACTAAGACATATACGCATTCGTGTCGATTCAATTGAGTACAAAACGTTCAGGACTCGAAATCCATCGAGACAAGCCAGGGGACATGCCCTCTCGGGGATCTACTCCGGGTAGCCCTGTGTAAGGGTTCCTGAAGTGTCCCTATGACGGATGAGCAAGGTCATGATTAAATTTTAGACTTCGGTGGAATCACAACATGATCTGATTAGACAGCCACAACCTTTCTCGGTATCATACATGTATTGGGCTGATCCCAATGGCACAGGACCGTCCAGGTACATATAATTGCCCATCCACGCTGTTACCTCTTGTCCTTGTTGATCTATGTGATATTCAGAGCTTTAATCTTTTGCTCAGTATGCGCTCGTTGAACACCAGGATGTCACCTTGGGACAACACATTGACCCTAGCTTTAGTTGCTTCGTGGGCATTGTTTCAAAAGGCAGCAGCACTTCCTCCACGAGGCAGTTTTAACAGCTCAGTTGTACCCTCTTCACCTTCGGGAAGTGTGACCCCTATCATCTCGTCATCTGTTGTCGGAACTTCCCAGCGTGTGTCCACTTCTGCAAGTCATGGACCATCTTCGTCGTCTGTTGGATTTCATTCCTCTGTCACTCCAATTCCGAGCGTATCATCATTTCCGTCCCCCTCGTGCCCTAAGTGTACCCCACCGCCAGCTCCCTCGACGCTGACGGTCACGGTCACAGTAACTAATTGTCCAGCTCCTCAAACTGTCTCGGCCACAGTATTTACCACGATCTCCACCACAGTCACCCATTGTCCAGCTCCTCCGCCTCCTTTCCAGCCCGGTATTGTTCCAGGAGGGGGAGCACCTAGTGCTCCTGGGCCTGGAAATGGGCCACCGGGAGGTCCAGGAGGCCCAGGAGGTCCAGGTGCAGGGGGTCCAGGTGCAGGGGGTCCAGGTGCCGGGGGTCCAGGAGCCCCAGGAGGTCCAAGTCCAGGAGGTCCAGCTGCAGGGGCCCCAGGTGCAGGGGGTCCTGGAGCTCAAACCGGGCATATGACTCCCGGATTATCGAGTTCCATCACAATCGCTTCCATGTCTACTCGTCCGGTCTCAGGGTCGTCTATCACGGCTAGCACCTCACCTGCGCCACGACCTCGACCTCGCCCACCTCAACCCTCATCGTCTGGCCCATCGCCTGAGACTACCGGGGCTGTGCATCCACCTGGTCCAACGCCAATGTCACCCGCGCCGCCAGAGGCGTCTTCAGTCGCACCTCATCCCAGGCCACCCCCTCCTTCACCTACAGGCATGTCTTCTGCGACTCCTCCGACTTCCGGGGCCCCAACTACGCCTCATCCTAGGCCACCTCCCCCTCCACCTCCACACCCCTCTCCTGCAGAACCCCAGTCTTCTGAGAAAGTTCCTCCCAGGCCAACACTCTCCCACACATCAGCAGCCACTTCTCCTGAAGCATCGTCTCCTGGGGTCCCAAGCACGCCCCATCCCAGGCCGCCCCCACCTGGGCCTCCAGGAGCCTCTTCTGCGGCTCCCTCATCTTCTGGGGTTCCAGTCACGCCCCACCCCAGGCCACCACCACCACCTCCACCTCCGGAAACTACCCCTGCAGTTCCAGCCACTTCTCCTGCAGCTTCATCGTCCTCCAAGGTTCCAGTTACGCCTCATCCTAAACCACCTCCGGAGGCCTCTTCGGAAGCCCCATCGTCGTCTCCCGAGGTCCCGGTTACACCCCATCCCAGACCACCACCTCCACCTCCTGGCACCTCGCCTGCA